CCAGTATCTATTCTACATTTCCTTCAAATATTGAAAGAGATGAAAGTTACAGGTACAACCTGTCCTACAATGCCTCTATTAAATTGGAAAGGAAAGTCAACAGGAGATTTTCATCCTCTGTTGAAATGCATCTTCCTTTGGACAACTGGTCACAACAGTTACTTTTAACAGGGAAGACCAACACTACAAAACTTTTTTGGAAAATAACAGTCACTTGAATATTATCCTCTTCTGATATTTTCCTACTGAGGAGGCTACTTTACCTTGAGAGGCAAAGTTAGGCCCACAGGCAGTTAATTGCATTCTTCCCAAATGCATTGAGAGATAGCACAATAACTTTCTGTAATTATCTTTTACTGTAAGCTAACCAAAATGCACTCTGATTTTGGTGTTATATTCATTAGCAACCAGGCTGTTTGGACTGCTAATATATTCTGGTAATGTCCAGTCTATAAATAAGAACTGATTAGCACAGAAAGTAAAGTACTTCTAAAATACTTTGAGTAACAAAACCTTATCTGGCAGCCGGTTTAAAATTACAGCTCAGTTTTAAATACAGAATACTGATGGGTGATGACATGCTGGGGAAAAAAAACACCATCACCTATTAGTAGCACAAATTCCTTTTCACTAGGAATACCTAAAAGAAGTAGTCATTTGATAGGAATGCAGGTCCTGAATCTGTGTTTATTGAAGAATCCACTGAGTCTGGTTCGATCCGGCTTACCCATATAAAATGATTTCTGATATAAAATAATTAGGAAAACTCCTTCCATTATCTATATTCTGTATTCAAACTGTAATGCACCTGTGAAATTCAGGAAGAACATTGTCTATCTGGAAAATATCTATCTGAATACAGGAGAGGAGCCATTAAACTTTCTTTAAAACAAAACAAAGGGAATCCCAGCATCTAGGAAACAATCCAGAGGGTCTGCTTATGTTAAAATACAGTGAAGTATAGAGATCTTTGTTACTCCTGATGCACATGTATATTCACAAAAGTCATAATGCAGAGTTGATGTAAATATAGGCTGTCTGTTGATGCAGAAGTTTAGGATAATAGGGAAGCAGGGTTGGAAGGAATCTCATGAGGTTTTCTAGTCTAGCCCCCTGTTCAAGGCAGGGTCATCCCTCACTAAAGCCTCCCAGCCAAGAGTCGTTCAACCTGCTCTTCAGAATACATGGAACACGTTAGAAAACTATGGCTACATTTTTAACTCTCCATCATTTTAGGGTCAACACTGTACTAAAAGACACGTGGCACACCTCCCTTGTGAATAGGCCATGACTGCAGTGGGATATGAACGCCTTAGAAGAGGCCCATGTGATTCATGTCTTTAATTTTTCAGATATTTCCATAAAATGTTTCTGGTTAAATATTAATCAGGCATGAAAGCATGTGCCCTGATGAATGACATCAGTACCGTTTAAAGAACATTAAAAAAATATAGTAATTAATAACTGGGTTTAATTTAACTGATAAAGTTAATTATTATTTGTATGTAGTAATACATGAAAAAAATGACTTTTTAACTAAACATAGAACATTTTAGAAGTAGGAAATAAATGGGATAAAAAAGGTTTTCTTTTTTTGTCTAGAAAGTATGGTATTTGCAAGGACTCTTTGAAGGTTTATATTGGAAAATCAAGTGTTTTGGTTTTACTGCAAGAGCTATTTCTCTGAGTAAAAGTAAAGTTGATTAAAGCTTCTCTACAAAGAAATGGTATTCTACAGGAAGATGGAGAAATGCCACATCAGACACCCCTATTTCAGAGGCAGGATGCCTTTCTGCTGCTTGGGTTAATTCACTTCTACAGCCAGCTCTTTAAAAAAAAGAGACTTTGGTGTATGTTCCAATGTACAGTTCTCAAAGTTTTTCTTCCAAGGACTATTTCTCCATGTTTTCTGAGAATTACTAAGTTTAACATAGAGAAAATGGAACCATGACAGACATCTTCCAAATGACTGTCCTAAAAATTACTCACACTCCCTCTTGTTACCTCTTTTCTTTCTTTACACACCTTGCTTTCCATTCTGCACTGTCACACAATGTCAAAAGAAGGGGAGTGGTGTCCCAAATGCAGTTTTGCCTCTGGCCTGATGGTTAGGGCACTGTTCTGAGAGCTGGATTTGAAGCTCCTCAGACTGAGAAGGGCACTGAACCTGGGTCTCCCACTTTCTGGGAAGGTATTCTAGTCTCAAAGCAATTCCATCAAGAGCAACATCACTAGCACCATCATTTTAATAGAACGTGGTCATCACTACAGTCACTAACAATGTATTGAGGCATTCACAGACTGAATCGGGCCCCTTTGGAGACTTAGGCAGAGCAGCATTTAATTCTTGGCCATAGCTATGAACTGTTTTAGGCACTTCATATCCCATTTTGGATCTAGCACTATTTTTTTTTTATTTCACAACTGCTTAAAAATCTCTATTTGTTACTTAATAAGGTGGTACTTCCAGGGAAACTTTGAAGAACAAATAAGAACAAATATCTTTTGGATAGTTCAGAATAAAATACATGTATAGTGAATGTGGCTTTATGCAAATGACTATCTATATACGTTTTTAACAATGGAAATCTAAGTGGAACAGGTAGAGAGAAGGGTTATAGCTATGTTTAGGGGGATTAGGATTTTATATTATATAAGGATATTAGCTCATTTAGACTTATTTGACTTTTCAAAATAAAATAAGGGGGGATAAGATCACTGCTTATAACTAGGATTATAACTAGAATTGCTCTCATAAATTATAGGAATATTCATATGTATGCATATATATGTGTATATATATGTATATAATATATATATAATATATTATATACATATATATACACATATATATGCATACATATGAATATATATATGGGCACCTCTACACATGCAGGTAAAGGTGAGATCTAATGCATAAGTCACAGAACTGCACCTCCTGCCATGCTATAAGTGCATGGCAGGAGATGTGATTATGTGGATCATGCATTAGACTGGTTAATCATGCCTTATGTAGTATAACATGTTGATGGTGTGTGTGTGTGTGTTTATAGTTCTAGTATAAGACTTTCTAGTTCTCAGCAGGGTAAGAAAAATGTTTCTAACACTCAAGTTAAAAGAGAACTTCCATTAATTTTAGCATCAGCATTCATTACCTAGCATCTAAGGTGGTATAAAAACAAACCCTTGATCAGACTGACATTAATAGAGGGCAGTGCACATAAAGTAGCCAGTAGCACATAAATTAGCCAGTTCATTATATTCATGAGTGTGTGTGTGTGTGTGTGTGTGTGTGTGTGTTTGTGTGTGCCTGTTAATGTGTATGTCTGAATAACAGCCATAGATAACAGCCACTTCCAGCAATAAAAAATTCAAGATTCAGACCATGGTTTCCAAACCTGTTGTCTTTCCTTTTAACTTAGATAGTACCATTTTCTGAGCTTATCTCAAAATGTCTCAATCAAAAATACATCCATTTGAAAAGGTAGTTCCAGTTTTTGCCTTACCTTCACATCATTGATATTCATTCTTGTTCCTTCCTTTCCAACAAAGATGTCATCTATGTCGACAAGAATGTATCTATCCAAAGACAATGTTAGCTTCTTCCCAGATAGGAAAGAAATGGCATCTATAAAGATCAGCTTGTGCAGCCAAAAGGTCAAGTTATTTCCAAAAAGGACTCTCTGAATCCCATCATGAAGCCCCAGATCTTGAATTACTGTAGCATACAGGGCAGTCTTAGGCAATGATGCAGGGAGAGGCCTGGAAGTCTGTAATTCTGTTAAAAGCACGGGTTGGTAGGTGGAATGATTAAACTGGAAAACTGTCCAGTCTTCCCCAGGCAGTTGGCCCATCTCAACCCTGGATGCTTTGGTAATGTGCAATAGAGGAGACTGTGGGTTTACAAAACAGTTTTTGAGGGGTACATTATTGTAGAGGTGTAAAGGAAATCCTTTTAGTTTAGTACTTGGGGAGCTGTTCTCATTGGCTTTATGAAAACCAATTATGCTAACACTGTATTCCACACAGTATTTTTCCAGAAGCTCTCTATTCCATGAGTCCATAGACACATATTTTAAAATATTTTCATATATAACAAGTGTATATTTCCCTTTGCCATTGTCTGTAAGAGGAGGAATATCACCTTTTGCAGGTGCAATCACCATTTGGTACTGGAATCTACTAGACTCAAGGATGGCTATAATATCTTGTCCAAGCTGGGAGTACTGGCTTTCAACGAACAGGAGGACAGTGGGATCAGTCTTAGATGGATCAATTGGTCTGGCAGTTTTCAGTTCCATGGACCTGTATGGTAAAAGTTTAAGGTCCTCACATTTTGCTTCTCCAGTGGCTTCAACAATGGCCATTTCCTGTTTGTAGCCTGTATATAAGTAATAGGCAGAAATGACTATGCTTACTAAACAGAAGGTGGCTAAGAGAATGATCAGTGTTCTGAAACTTCTACGAAGTTTCACAGTAAGATTCATTTTTTGCAATACTTTCACCTTTCTTTTAGTTTTGGCTTTCTCCTCCTAAAGTGCCATAATTAGAGAGATACAAGATGGTGCAAGTTCCACTCTCCACATGTTCATGTGACCATTTCAATGCATTTATGAAGGCGTTGGGGAGGTTATGAAATTGTTACAGCTGGAAGTCAAAGTGTCTGGAACTCTAAACTGGAAGAGATTTTCTCTGAATACAGCAGTTCCCAATAATCAATGGAGAAGACTCTTAACATTATCTGCAACAACAGGTAAAATTAGAGTAAGTCAAAACAAAATCCACAGAGTAATTAAAAACAAATGTGTAACTTAAATATGTTACTAATATATCTGAAGAAAGAGGGAATTAATTGCTAGCCCATTATTAGATTATTGCTTGCTGCTTTCTTAGTATATTTAACTCAGAACAAATCAATTAAGAAAATACCCCAAAATACTTATGATGAACTATATCTAAATAAAACACTCTGAATAAAATTATACTGGCATTCAGTTGCTATTTTTTTTTTTACTAGCAAGATACCTTACTCTTCCAGTAAGGAATAAGTGCAAGTGATGGAATAAAATTAAAAAAAAGGAAAACAGAGTAAATATCATGAAAAACTTTGTCCTAGAAGACAATGACTGACAAGTAACAAGGTGCATTTTTGGGGAAATTGGAAAGTGGTCATGACAAAGTATTAGAAAAATTATAGTGTGTGTACCATACACACCATCCTGGGCATATCTACATGCTACTGTGTAGTGGTTATTGGGCATTTGTTTAGTACTTATATAAGCAAGTACTACATAAATACACAGTAACCGGAATTACTATGCAGTAGCACCTGCGAATAGCTTTTCAGTGGTGCTACTGTACAGCATGGTTTTTGCCACAAGACTATACTGTACAGTAGTATCAAGCTACTGCACAGTCAGCCTCTCGTGCAGACCTGCACCCTGACTGGTAACTGGGAATGGACTAAAATGTTTAAAAAACTTTCTTTTTCTTCAATTTATATTTTTTTGTTCTTGTGCAATTTAAGCAAGATAACTCATGTAAGTATTTCCAGGATTTCTTTTCCTTCCATTTTTCAGGCTTACATTAAATTATCCATGTTATCAAAGTCCTCCAAATATTTTAAGTACTTTTAATTCATTAAAAAAAACCCCCATGGCTTCTTTTAGAGAAATGGTTAAACCAGACCTGACTAAATGCTGCTAAATGAAAAAATGTTGGGCTGAGATTCAGACTACTACAGTTCCACTAAGTGGCTCTTTTCTTATAAGAACTATAGCCTTCTAAATAGGGAAACTTAAGATAACTGAATCATTTCTAAATCTCGATAAGAATAGAACCATGCTGTTATTTCAAGAGGTCTACTTTGTTATCCTGATTTGTCAGTTTTTAGGGTATTATAAAAAAATTCCTGTTAAAATATTTGCAACAGTGTATTGCTTCCATTCCATGGACTCACCAGCAGAGGGTGTGTCTACGCAAGACACTTTACTGGGCAATAGATTACTCTACTGCACAGTAAAGTGTCAGTGCCTACACGTGCGCACCATTTATTGGGCAGTTAGTCTATTGCACAGTTAGCTACTACCTGTAAATACAGGTAGCAAACTAACTTGGCAGTATATACTGGGTGCATCTACACATGTTGCTATGGTGCCATTGTTACTGTACTGTCTTTTAGTAATTCCTTTTGGAAGTATTAAAAGATGGCACAGTAACAACCCATTCTGTGTCATGCACACTGTGCAGGGTTATTTTTAGGCACTACACTGCTGTAGCAATGCACTATAATGGGGGAGCGCATCACTCTAGCAATGTAGCTGCAGTGTCATGAGTTTTGCCCATGGATGCTATGTCACTGTAGCTTGTTGCTACGGTGATGTAGCATTACGTGTAGACACACGCACTGAGCAGTAGTGCATATGTAGACATCGACCAGGAGCAAATTTGCTCCCAGTTAACCCCAACACTAAGGAGCCATAGGGGTTGGGAAATTCCCCCGGTCCTGGTGCTTCTCACCTCCTGGATCCCCCAAGAAGTTGGGAACTGAGCAGCACCCAGATGGGGTAGCTTTCTGCCCCCCTACCCCCACCTGTCCTGGTGCTGTTCGGATCCTGGCTCTTGTGGGGAGCCGAGCAGCAGTGGGACTCAGAAGCTCCATGCTTCACCGTGCAGCCAGGATCTGGACAAAAGCTCTTCTCCCAGCCAGCTCTAGGCTGCACAAGGATATCCCCAAGCAGTTTGGGGCTGCCAAGGAACTATTTCACTTCTGGGGTAGGGCCAAGCCACTTCCAGTCTCTGCAGGGATTTCCCTGAGCAGCTTGGGGCTGGCCGGAAACTGTCCCCCTTCTGTTTTCTTTATTAGAATTACTAAGAATTACACAATGTTTCTAGAGTCTTAACATGTTTAATAATGACACTTTAAAGATTAAGTTTCCACATGCCTATTACAGTGGATTAGGCACAGACCACACTTTAAGGATTCTTATAGGCAGAGATTGGCTTCAGGAAGATCAATATATCTTGTAGGAGTAGACAAATACTTCTAGAACATTAAGGAATTAATCTTGATAGTAGACTATTGCAGTCATATATGAAGGAGAGAGGTTATTTAGGTTTGCTTTTGCAAATAAAACGTAAAATCAATATAAACAGTTAATTCTGCATTATGCGATTAAATAAGGAGAAATGAGAAACTTTTTCTGAATTATTTATACTGTTTAAACAGTGAAGGACTCTAAACAATGGGCTACTTTATAGTGCTAAGAATTAAAACATTTTAATTTACATGTTGCCGTCCATTAGACTACACCAGTGATTCTCAACCAGGGTGCCCCTGGGATGCCTTGAGATCCTTTCAAGGGTGCCTTGGAGTACCACACATTGTTAATACTGTTAGGTTTTCCACCATGATTCACAAGGTAAACCCAGAGGCTGCATCTTGACAAGTGTGCACATGTAGGGATGTGCATTTTCCCATATGGCATGCATTTCTTTCTGACATGCAACAAAGTGACCCAGATGGGGTAGGAGAGGCTTACCTGGGGTTTGGGGGCCTCCCAGGGCAGGAGTGGCACTGAGGTTGCTCAGAACATGGCCAGCAGCCAGAGCATGGCTTTGGCTGGCCAGGCTCCCTTTCAGGCAGTACACGCTGCTGCCACATGTGCCACACCACTTTTTTAATGACATTTTTTTTGACACCAGGATCTCCCAGCATCTCCCGGAAAAAACCTGCCACATTCCTAATTAGCAGCACAGAGAATGGGTGCACATGCATTGCATGCAATTTGCAGCACCTCAAACTACTCTGAGGCACTGCACACTGCACATGCGCACTTGTGGGGACACAGCCAGAGATTTCAAATAAAAGTCCATAGTTGTGGTCTTTCTGAGTTCTTTGCAATAGGAAAAAACTGCTTTATTATTTTTCTGTTGGCAAAAAAAAGACTGAAAACTAAGAGCTAGAAGTTTCCAAGGGGATGTCCCCGTCTATCCAGGCATGCCTCAAGTCTAGAAAGGTTGGAAACCACTGAACTAGACTGTAGAGTGGTAAGAACCAAAGCCCTGGGTTTCTCAAAGAGCTTTAATTCTAAAGCTGAGGAGGACATCTAATGAAAATATATAGGAAAACTTGAATGCTAAATTTTATCTAACACTGGTACGCCATTCAAGGGGCATTATCTGAGTGTGTATGTAGTATAAACTTAATGTGAAGGACAGTACTATTTTACTTTTTTATGTTACCATCAGTTTTTAGGACACTACAGTACTTTTCTGATATCAAAACTCATGGGAGAAAAGGACTCACCTAAAGAGGAAGACAAAACTATGGGTCTAAATTCTGACTCAATCAGTCCAGATGTGTAATGAGAAACTACTTGTCATGATTACAGGCACCAGAATCTGACCCATAAAATTTGGCAATAGAATCTACCTATTCCATAGGGTTTTTTTGCCCATCCTTTTTCTAATGCAGTATATTCTCTCTGCAGTATCTTTTGGAGTTAGAAGCTTGCTGCTATAAAACTCAAACTCCTTCATCAGCTATATACAGTCATTTGCTATATACAGTCATTTGCAGCTGCTTTCACAGTGCTAGCTTTAAACTGCTTAAATGAAAACCAGGTGAGGCATGTGCAGTCATTCGCTGCTCCCAGCATCTGTGTAGGGAAACCAGTGTAAGTAACTCAGGGTGAGGGGATGGTCAGGAGGAGTGGGGGTGGGGAGATGGCTTCGGGGGATTGGTGGGATGAAGGAAGACTGGCAAGTCCATGATTGGGTAGGAGAGAATTGGTAGGTCTATGTGGGAGGAGGTCGGGGGTTATAAATAGCTTAGTCACAGCCAAGGGGGTTGGGAGTAGCACAGCCCCAGAGAAGGGGTGAGTGGCTGGGCTTTCCCGGCTCTGAGGCTCCATTTTTAGATTGTGTTAACCTCATCTCGATCTAAGTTAGTTCACCTCCTCAGATGAACCAACTTTAGATCAGCTTCTCCATTTTTCAGGTGATTGAAGTCCTCCAAATGCTACTCGATTAGACGTTTAGAACAACATAAGCCTGGTTAGATCAATCTTAATATTAAACCTAGACATACCCTAGTTCTGTCATGGGATTCTAGTAGCAGGAAAAACATTGATCAGCTTTGTGTGAGAGAATCACAACCAGAGTAACAAGAAAGAGTAACAATTTATTGTTGTTCAGAAGTCTTGACAGAAAAATGTGGTTATGTAACAGTATATTGTTAATGTACATAAAATACTGCCACAACTACTGAGATAATAATCATAATTATTATTAAAATAAGCAAAGATTTTTCCCTGAGGCTCATCTGACTTTGAAGTTGTAGGTATTTTTCTTCATATTATTACACATTAGAGCTGTAATTAAAATGTTATAAATAGATGGCATCAGATGACATGCTCTCACTCTCTGACCCTATATCTCAGTTTTTACATGTTAGTGATATTGATAAGGTACACACAAGCTTGACTTTGCAGGTTTGTCAAATCACCAGAATCTGATAAGTTACAGCCTCGTTATGCAACTAGTCTGTTCGTAAAATAAAATAATTTTAACAAAACCTTAAAAACAGAAATAAATAAAAGCCTCTTCAATTTCATATCATCTATTTTCTTTCAGCACTAGAGGGCAATATTTTCTTGCTTTTGCCAAACAAAGAGTGGCAACACCTATTATCCACCAGATAGCTTACAAAATAAACAGATCTGCAAATCAAGCTGGGTCCAGAAAGGTCATCAGAATTTATGCCAGCAGGTAAAATCCTTATTTTAGATTTTAGTGGAAAAGCAATAGAATTTAAGTGCTAAAGAAATTTAATAGTAAAAATAAATTTAATACTTACCAGCTTTTTTAGTCCAATTTGTATCCCAGATGGATAGCATACATTATTGGAGTTACATGTTCATATTTTTTTCCCTTTTTTTTGTCCTGTTGAGTCTCTTACATACTGGAATTATAAACTGTCAAAATAATAAATTTGGTGAGAAGGATCATTGCATTATTATCTGTATGATTGTTACATCTAAAAGCCCAGTAATGAGCCATTATGCCAGACAAAACAAAAAGATGGTCCTTGTCCTAAAGTTTACAGGTTTAAAAAGTAGGTTAATTGCCTTCTTATTAACATCTTGCTTTCCTGATAAAATACAGTGCCATCCAATGCAGGACCTCTGATGAATTATAGAGGTTACAAATATTGAATACATGTTTTAAAAGTTACCCACATAGATATGTTATATATTTATCTTTATACATTTAACAAAGATATTTAAAATAATTATCTAACGTATCTATATTTATTAACTGGCTTACTGTAATTTGAAGGGTATTTGGAGGAAGACTGAATTCTATGCCTGTGCACCGTTATACTTGCTATGTGAATTGATAATATTGTTCAGTAAAAAGCCTTGTGAAGTAATTAAAGTTTATGAAAATAAATCAGCTATATTAGCCATTAGTGGGAGATTTTCTATGCCATAATTGGGAGTTAACTGCCATTTGTGCCTTTGAAACTCTCCCGCTTAAAGTTCAATAGCTTTATATGCATTCAGAACTTCAACTTTTCTTTGGAGTATTTCTGCTCTGTATTAATCTACTGTAGTGCTGCAAAAACTTGTAGTGCTGAAATAAATACCCAAATAAGACTATATTTCATAAAAAGATGTAGAATTACTTATACAGCTTCATTTCAGAGACCCATTTCTAAGGTTCTATCACTCCTCATCTCTGATCAAGTTGACTGGTACTCCACTTTGCAAGATAAACTCCAAATATAGTTATGCTTGGTCAGGGAAATAGGCAAAAATTCACTCAAAATAGGTCTTAAGTAGATTTTTACAAAATAGACATAGTGCTGGCTCTCTGTACAGCATGAATTTCACCTATACATGTCTTTTAACTCTATACTGTAACATTCTTCATAATCTACTATTGTAATATCTTAGTTAGCCCAGAAACAGTAAAACCATTGACTTAATGTAGTTTGACATACTAGTCTGTAACTGTAAAATATTTGTTGCTACAGCTACTCCAGCAAATGTCCTGGCACAGCTGATCTACTTCACTGTGTGAAGCATACCTTTCCCCTTGTCTCATCCATCCATCTTGGAGGGCATGGGCAGTCCATTCCACAGGGTTTTCCTGCTTACAGAGGTGTGCTCTGGAGACCACACGAAAGTGAGGTCAGCCCTCTGGTACAGCCCTAGGGCTGTGACTGCCAATCAACTAATTGGACCCCACAGGATTGCTGATATGTACCCAAGGAATCCCAAATGAAGGGACTCAAGCAGGCACTCCTGGGACTTCAGGGGCTGTATCCTGGAATAGGAATGGGAATCCCCAGGTTGTGCAGGATTGGGCCCCTGAAGCTCCAGCAGTGCCTATCTGCACAACAATAGCCTGACCATGCTTTCCTGCTATAAGCCTAACAGACATTTATAACCATAAAGTGGAACTAATTTATGCCATTTACTGTGTGGCCAAAAATTGTGGGCATACGTTGCTGCAAGGTACATGGATATCTTTGTGCCACCATAAAAGTTTCTATGGGGTTACACTAAGCCATTGTCTCTTTCCACTCTATATTCAGCTTACACAGCAAAAAAGCAAAAATGTAAGATGTAGATATAAGATGTAGCTTATATCAGTTCCCTGAACAAAATAAGTTACCCTGGCACTAGGACGTTTTTACTCATTTAACTGCAAAAACACCAACACTACTGCTGTTGTTAAATTGTCAAAAAAAATCAGAATTTTAAGTGACAACACAAAAGTCACCAGTGTCAACAAGACCCATGAAAGCCTATTAACAATGATTGAGTCATCCCAATTAAAGGACGGCAGTGACAGGATATACAATGGATGAAGCATTTACAAGTTAAGATGCTAACATGGTATTCTATTTTTAAGGTGTACAATGTTTAAAATAAACCTTTTTTAAAATCAAATGATATGATTAATTCCCAGCTATTGGATCCAGACTCCAGATCTCCCAAAATTCAGGTGTACTGGGACGTGAGACTTAAAGCTCATCCTTGATGTAGAACTTGAGGATGAAATCCTGTTTTGGATCTCAGTTCAGATACATTCTTCTTCCTTCCACAAACTCAGATCCCTGATCCAAAATTACGGTGAGAATCCAGGTTTCCTAAAAGGTATTAAAAAGCAAGTTATTTCACCTTGGCTGCATCTACATGAGATGCTGACTATGTAGTTGTTACTGCACAGTCATTTAGTACTTGCATACCCAAGTACTAAATGACTGCCCATTACTTTACAGTAAAGTCCCTGCATGTCTTCTGGGTGACACTTATTGCTGCTTGTTGCTACTGTAGAGTAATTCGTTACTACTGTGTGGCAGTGTTGTGTCAAGGTTTGTGTCCCATGATGCTACTGTGCAGTACTAATGAGCCACTGCACAGTAGTAATGAGCTACTGCACAGGAAGCATCTCGTGTAGAAGTGGCCCATATGTGCATAAGAAAACAAGAAAAGTTTTAAGTTTTACTCTAACTTTACTGCTAGAAAACAATTCTCTCTACCGATACATTTTATAGAAAACTAAAATGGAAGGTTTTTAAAGATGCTTGGTATAAAACCTAGCAATTTAAATATTGTAACATTGCTTGTACATTGTGGGGAAAAAAATGTTTTTATAAGCTAAAATCAGTTAGCACTGTATTGGTAAATAAAGTGTGATTTTTTTTTAGCCCTAGTCTATATGTGACTGAAGAAAAATGGTTTAGAAAGTTGGGATAGCTGTCCTGTATCAGAAGAGGTCTGTCTGGACATGTCTGGACTGTCTGAACTATCTGAAGAACAGCTTGAAAAGTGTGTCCTGGGGACAGTAAAGAGGAGCTGGTATCTAGACATTAAAGGAGGCTTCCAGGGAGAGGTTTCCCTTCATGATCTGTAAGATTTTCTTTCTTCCTTTTTTTAATTGGCAGTTGCAGCTAAGGAACAGCATAGATCTAGAGCTCTTTAGGAATCTGTTTCTTTTGTTTATTTTTGTGTGGATTTAATAGATCTTGATTTTCTAAGGTTATTTTTGTTTGTATAATTTCACACCTATATCCCCCACAAGGGAAAGAAAATTAGCTTTGAGAAGTTTTGAGTGAAGCAAATGGTTACCTTTGCACGTGTCAGATGATACTAGCTTTTGGCTATTCGGGTTGGACTATACTCAATTCACAATGCAGGGATAGATCCAGAGGGGGTGCAACAGCAGTGCAGAAGTCCCAGAAGTCCCAGAAATTCCTTACTTGGAGATGTAAAGAATTCATGGAAGCTATCACAGCCCCCTGAGTCCTTGCCAAATTGGAGAAGGCGACCAAGGACCAAGAAGAAGAAAATAGGTGGGAAGGAGTGAGGGTTTTTCCTATCCTTTACTGACACAAAATGTGTTCAGACAGTTTCGCCAAAGTAGGCACCATTCTATGACAGAATGTAATAACTTTATGGAAGATGTTCTGCCTAATTGGTTTGGAAAGAATCCAGAGGTATAATCTTCACACAATATTTCAGAATGTCCAATTCCGGTTGGAACTTAGAAGTGTATAAAGATAACAAAAGCACTTGCATAAACCTTTTCTTGAACTCAAAAGAAGCCTGGTGGAAGTTATTCTGCCTGTTTCAGTATGGTTCTAAACTTACAGAAACCCAGTTCACACGTGATTCATGATTTAAAAAGTACTTACATTTCCATATTTAGACAAAAAAACTGTTCCATATTTAGACAAAAAAATTTAGACACTGCTGTCTATTAGTTCAATACTAAGACAAGTGACCTGCTATGAGTAAAAGAAAAACACTCATCTACTCTTTTCTGAATAGTATCAGAAATTCAAAGTAAATTTACAATTTATTTTTCTTAGAAGCCACTCTTCCTAGATTTAGCTGCGTCTATATGTGGCAGTACCAGAAATCTCACAAAAGAGAAATTTCCATGCCCAGGAAATTTGTACGTTTCAGATATGCACCTAATTATTAGATTCTTATCCAAAGCAATGTTTTTATGATTTAATCATAACTACTTGCCTAGACATTTTATTAAAAAAATGGCTTTGCTGGCAAAATCTACTGATGTCCTCAGGGCGGACCATAAGTTTACCATCATAAATTCAAAAATTTTTGGCTATAGACAGTTTATCAGCTAAAATTGGGACTCTATTGCCTTCAGCTGATTCCTTAAGACAATTTCTACCAGCTGAAGATCTGTCCTGGTATCCTTATTTCTTATCTATGCTTTTCTTATGTAAAGTCATACTCCACTTGTCATACTCCATTTTGGAGAGTCCATAGTCAATGTACAATTTCTTCTATTTTTGAAAAACAAATGGCGGCAGGTGTTATGTAATGACAGATGGGTACAAACTTGTGGACTTTATGATGACTTCCAGGATTATATGCCTGGACCAAGAAGAAACAACCAATAACCAACACTTAACCCTTTTGGGCACATCTCTATGAGCTTGAACATGCATTTCCCCAGGGACAAACAGCAGCAGCACAATATGTGCCATTGCTACTTGTCCTCGGGAAACACCTGTGCATATGTGCTCTGATGTCCAGCACGTTACCCCAAGTGAGGTAGGGGAGCACCTGGGCTGGCCCCAGAAGACTTACATGGGTCCTGGGGCCCTCTGGGACTGCAGCCACAGTGATCTGGCAGCAGGGAGCCTGCCTGGCAGCCACAGTGTGGCTCCAGCCAACCAGGCTCCAGTTTCGGGTGGCATGTACCACCCCACTTTTTATTGTTGTGGGGTTTTTTGACACTGAGATCTCCTGGTGCAAACCCCCACCCTGTGCTGCAAATTAGCAGCGCGGGGAATGCCTGCATGTGCAGCACATGCAGTATGTGGTTCCACAGATGAAAAATGCAGCTACGGTGCTGCATATTGCATGTTTCTGTTAGACTGGATGTGCCCTTTGACTCCACTTCCTAGTTTTCAGTAGCTCTAATT